GTAAGCTGCTTCTGGCGAAACCAGAGCAGCGCATGGAAACGCTGTTTACCTTCCCACCGGAGCGGTACCTATTTATCTACTTGCACTTTGACGTGCTTTCGAACTGCTAGGTTGGCAGGAGCTGGGATGGAGCAACGGGAGCTCACCCTGTCATGGGAATTCGAACCTCTAGCCTTCTGATTGGCAAGCCCAAGAAGCTCAGTGGTTCAAACCACTGCGCCACCCAAAGAAGTTCAACAAGTTTGGCTCCCCTAAAAGAAGCTAAGCATTTTTTTCCTGCACCCCCTGAAAAATGCAGCTTTCCTCCTCCCTAAAAGAAGCTCAACAACTTTGACCTGAACCCCCCAAAAGGGGGTGGTCACTGCCAGTTTTTAACTCTGTGAGTAGATCACAGTCTCTTGGGAGTTGGCCACCCCTGAATTAGACTAATCACATCAATTGACTTTGTAGTATATTCTTGTTGAATAAGTTGTAGCTGCACAGAGTCAGTTACTGTTCTTTGAAAGATATTTATAATCAAGTTGTATAATTTTGCCACTCACAGGATTGTATTCAGTGCTTTCAGTCTATGGGTGCAATGTCTCTTGTACTAACAGAGGTCCATTTATAAATGTTGGGCAACAGAAGAATCCATCACAACAAGTCGACTTGTGAAATAATTGTGCAACAGCCTGTATGTACATACAAATAACACTTTTCTGCTTGTGGAACCTTCTGCACAAGAAGATCCGCCTGACTCCCTTCAATTTCGTTCTTCATTGGATGTACAGTGGTACCTCTGGTTATGAACTCTTCTGATTACGAGCTCCGCTAACCTGGAAGTAGCTGCTCCTGGTTGCGAACTTTGCCCCAGGATGCAAATGGAAATCACGCACTGGAGGCCCCATTAGCAAAAGTGTGCCTCAGGATAAGAATGGTTTCAGCTTAAGAACAGACCTCCACTCTGAATTAAGTTCGTAACCAGAGGTACCACTGTATACCCCATATTCTTAGACAAATTTCTGTAAAGTCAAATGTAGACAGTAAAATGCAGGATGAAATGTGATGTCTTGATTATCTTACCGATAATATAATTGCTTGGACTTCTTCTTCTTCTTCTTCTTCTTCTTCTTCTTCTTCTTCTTCTTCTTCTTCTTCTTCTTCTTCTTCTATTAGAATGTACCCCCACAACAATTGCTTAATCTACATTGAGTGCATTTTGTAACTATTTTGTCAGGGATAATTATAATAATAATAATAATTAATATGTCTGCCAGTTCCCTAATGTGTAGGATTTTCTATATCTACAGAGAAAGAATTTTTTGCGCAAGGGTGGGGTACAAGACCTTTCCCATTCTGATAGCTTTAGCATATTGCTCAAGAATGAATAGTATCTAATGCAGGAGCTTTGGGTACAAATGGGCAAACTTAAATGTGTATCTTTATGATGCCTGTTTCATAGCTAATATCATAAATTAAAAATGCTCTAAGGCCTTGCCAGGCTACCTTTGAAAAGAGGTTCTTTCCTAAAGGGGTTTCTTCCTTTCTAAATAAATAAAGAGCAGAGTAACAATTGCCAGTTCACCGTCTGATCTCTAGAACTTCCTGTTAAGCCCAAAATATAGTGCAAGAAACATGCTTGGGCTGCTGTTTTAGAGACTTGATGATGTGATAGGAAGGATATGTGCAACATCAAAGAATGATCTTGTTATACTTCTGAAGCATGACTTCTGCAAGTCCAAGTGAAATAATGGGTGCTCATTTTTCTCTTGAATGTGGCAAGTTTAATAGCCTTGGATTGTTTTTCATTAGTGGTGTTCCAAAACTTTCCTTCATCGTACTTGCGGCATAGACGTATTGCGTGTCCATGTGCCTTTTTCATTATCCGGATTTTTCTTTCATTTCTCAAAGCCTAGCTCCTATGTGATTCCCTGCTGGTTTATTTTAGGCCAAAGCTGAATAATTTGGAATATGATCAAACTTACCAGCTAGACTCGGGTGGCAAACAAATGTTCCTTTTCTTTTGCATTGTGCTAAATGGGACATTTGTTTTACTCCTAAAAAACACAGCTAGTATGGGCTTGTTTTAGGAAAATAACAAACTCCAGGTCGGAACTGAAACAGGGTGATTTTCATTTTTGGCAAAACACCATTATTGCTGTTTTTGTTTCTTATAGCTTTTTATGGTGATCAGATATCTAATCTTCAATTGCCTTTCAATAAAGTAGGTGAAATAATTCTCTTTGGAACAGCAGATGCACAGAAATTGGCACCATATGTATGTAATCCACCTGACAGCACAGCTTTTTATAAGCTTCCAGCAGCCATCCTTACTAACATTTCAGGCAGCAAATTCCAGAGACGGTGTCATTTTCTTGCACCCAGACGCCATCTCTCTGTATCCTGAACAATGAACATTGTACAGTGGTCAAAGGGGCCCTGTTTAGGTGTGAAAATGTTTGAAGTAGGGCGGCTTTTGTTAAGGCACACATACAATACGTAACTACAATGGTTTGTTACATCACGGCTACTGCTATGTTCTACCTCTGCTAACAGAGGCAATAGACCTTTGAATACCAGTTGCTGAGAATCATAGGTGGGCAGTGTTGCTGTGCTCAGGTCATGTTTGCTGTCATCTAACAGGCATTGGGTAGCCACCGTGAGAACAGGAGGCTGGACTAAATGGGCCATTGGCCTGATTCAGCAAGCTGTTCTTATGTTCTTATGTTATGAAGCAGAGTATGGAGCACAGTTCAATTCAGAGCTATTGTTTAAGAATACCAGATAAAGCATGTTCATGCTTGGGGAATTCCTAAACCCTTTATTGCCTGAAGAGGAAAACAAAGTGGCATGGATAGTTTCCAGAAGGGTAACTGAGTGAGTCTGCAGCAGCAAAAACAATGAAGTCTTCATGGCATCTTAAAGACTAACACATTTATTGTGGCATAAGCTTTCCTGGATATGAGTCAGTGAATGCTTATGCCATAATAGATTTGTTAGTTTGTACAGTGTCACAAAGACTTTCTGTTGGAATTGATAGATGTATTGAACACACGCCATATTTCCATTAACTGCCTTTGAAACACCCTAACTCCGAAGCTTCCTTTGCATGTAGCCTGAATGGTGTAACTGGTCCCACACTGACCTCCACTTACATGATACCTTTTACAGTGGCTTTGATTGCATAGCAAGCTGTACTCTACTGGCTCTTTGCATGAACCTCAACTGGTGTAGAAACAAAGTCAAGTTAGGTAGAAGTATTGACTTGTGTCCGGGATAAGTTAGAGCAGTCAGCCTCATGGGAGCCTTTTAGTGACACCTGATCTGGGTTTAAAGACTGCTCAATGTGAGGGGAGCAATATTGTAATAGCCAGCCCCACCCACAACTGATACACATTTTTCTGAATGTCAGAAGTGAGCTCATATATGTGTAAGGGGGGGCGTGTAGGCTCTTTTCAGGCTCTGTTCATGTCAAACAAAGATGCATAGGTCAGGGGATGCAATGTAACACCCATTCATCCAACATGAATATGTTCATTCTACTTGGATCTAATGTCTCTAAATGGCTCATGTATGTCTGTACTGAAAACGTTGTCTAATGTGTGAACATGAAACAGCTGTCACTCTTTTCAGGTTCATAGTTTTAATGAAATTTAACAGTGTCTAGAAAAAGTCAACTCATAACAGAATTGAATGGTAGGTATAAATGAGATTTCAGATGGCCAAATGGGAAGAGGCCAATGGCTAAGATTCCAAATGTAAAACTGGCATTGTAATGGGCTATCTCGCGGGATTTGTATGAGGATAAATATCGTAACGTTCTTTGCACATTTACAACCAGATAATAATTTCGCATTGGCTCCTGCTGTTTACATTAACAAAACGCCTATTACCTATTAAACCTCCACTTGAATGAACTAGAGAGTAACTGAATACAACCTTGCTCAGCTTGTATTTAGATTGCATGTCAAGTCTTCTGCAAGGTATCATTTGATATATCTGTTAAACCAATTCTGTTTCTCTGTGAGGCAATTTCTTTCAAACAGACCCATAATAACAGCTATTTGAAAATTGAATCAGGTTGCAGATATATATGGTTTCGAGTACAGCTGCTGTTTAAACCATAATATCTTGATTTAATACAAAACATGATGCAAGATGGATGTATAATAATTTATATACCATAGATAAAGGAAGGCTGTGTGAGAGATGCAGATAATATTTTTAAGAGAAGGTTGCTCAAACTTTCTTTTTCTTCCTTCTATCAAGCATAACTATTTTGCTATATGAACTTATAACAAAACTAATTATAATTGAATGGTCACATTTAATCAATAGAAAAAGAAGAGCAAATAACAAATCCTAAGCCAATGGAAGTTCTGTAGGGTGTCAGTAGGTCATATGAGCAGTAGGTGGTATGACCAGCTGTCATTAAAAAAACCAATAATTCTAATGAAGATATTGCTTTTGTGTGGCAAACTGAATTTATTGTGTTATATACCACCCAATTTAAAACTATAGAGGTGTTCAGTTTGCCATACATACATGCTGTAAGCATAAGAACTTAGCTAGATCAGACTGAAAGTCCACCTAATCCAGCCTATCACATTCAGTGTAGGCCAACCAACTGCCTCTGACTTTGTTTGTCATATGTTCCAAAGAAACTGTAAGTCTCTACTGCCCCGAAGGAAACTAAACTTAGTGGTAGTGCAACTTTTGAACTTCCTCTCCTTTTAAGGAAGTAGAGAACACAAAATAATAGGGATTTGGTTCTTACCTGTGAATTTTGGCCCGGCAGTATGGAAGACTATGGTGTAACACTTCTGTTAGTTGCTAATAGTTGTATGAGCTCATCCCCTGTTTGATGTTTATTTGAATGTTTACTGGGAGTACAGAATTGAGACATCATGAAGGCTAATGCCCAGAGGAACAACATAGATGAAAAATTCTGGATAAAAAATAATAATCTTGGTCTCATAGCTATTTTGGTCTGCTGATGAATGTATTCTTCATGAAACTAGGCTTGAGCTCTGTGTGCTATTGGAAAACGAAGCCGTCTTTGAAAAGGAGACTACAGAAGACTCTGAATCTTGTGCACCTCTTCTTTCCTATCAGAAGGTAATAAATGCCCTTTTATTTATCTTACACACACACACACACACACACACACGGAACAGGGAACACTTCTGGATCTGAGGACCAGGGTGGGCATTTACTGAGGCTTACCCCCTAGCAAAGGACCCACTGATTTTCTCTGGAGCCCCCCAGATTTTGCTGTTTCTCCTCCTCCCTATTGCTGTCTGTTCCCCTCTTCCTTTCAAGTAAGTGAGCAAGGAACAGCACTTTCCAGTCCTCTTATCCTCTCAAGCTAAGTGGCTCTATGAATTAGGCCTAATGGAAAAGGGCAGGTGAAAGGGCTGTAGATACAGGAATGTGAAGGACATGGGTCCACGCAGAGAGGGACCCCACTCTGGGCATCTTGCCCAAGGGCCTGCCAAAACCTGACGCTGGCCCTCCTGGAAATCATACTGCTAGTTTTGAAAGAAGTGGTTGGTAAATACTACATACATGTTATACAACCCCCCCTTCCCCTGCTTCCTGCTTGTAGTAGCCTAGCTTTATTGGTTATTCTATTCCCAGAGTGGAATTTTTTGCTGCAAAAGGCTGGTAAGAATGTGAGTGACTGTTTTTTCCTGTGTTCAGATGTAACAATTTCAAAGTACAGTGGTACCTCGGGTTATATACGCTTCAGGTTACATATGCTTCAGGTTACACACTCCACTAAGCCAGAAATAGTGCTTCAGGTTAAGAACTTTGCTTCAGGATAAGAACAGAAATCGGGCTCTGGTGGCGCGGCGGCAGCAGGAGGCCCCATTAGCTAAAGTGGTGCTTCAGGTTAAGAACAGGTTAAGAATGGACCTCCAGAACGAATTAAGTACTTAACCCGAGGTACCACTTTAGTGGAGCACTATAGTAGTGCTTAAAGCAATATTTCTAGGAAAACCCAGTTCTACAAGGGAGATGATTACATAGAAGTTTGTAGGGCTGATTATTATTGATTATTAAAATAGTTTATTCTGTGATTTTGGTGATTTTGATAATTTCTAGTTTTGTAATAAACCTGTAATGGAATATATTGTTGTATCTGTATTTGTTGTGAATCCATGCTGAGTTGGGGCATTGCAGAAAAGTGGAATATAAATCAATCCGGCATGAGTTGCCTCTCCCAGATCTCAATCTGCTGGAACTACCTGTTTTTGTTAGCATCTGTCTGTCTCAAGAGACAATGGAGTATGCTTCTTTAAGTCAAACCACTGCATTAGCAGCCCCAAAGTGACTTCCCTAGGGTTCAAGCCTGGCCAATGTGCATGGAGGTCCTGGGTTGCCTATACAACAAGATGTGGTCTAAAGGAAAGCAGAGCAATACAGTTAGCACCAGTTTGGCTGCAGGAGTTGCTGGAAGGAGGCATACAAGGTGCCATCCTCCATCTTAAGGACTCCACTTCATATTTGTGTAGGGTTTACTTCTTAGTCTTTTCTTCTCCCAAAGATCCACAAGGCAGCAGAGGTTTAAGACCAGAGTTTTCCTTCTCCTAGAAGGGCTACCCTCCCAGGGTAGGGAAGCTCTATCTGCTCTCACCTTGCACTACAGCATGTACAGAAACCATCATCTTGACCTGCTGAATTTAGATGTCTCCCCCCCCCAGGACCTTTGTCCCATAGGGTAAAGAACTTCAGTGAATTTTTCTGTGCTAATAGGTTTTCTTGCTAGAAATTGCACCTGGTTGCATTGCACTGCACAAAATAATAGTGATGCATCTTTTCTATTGCAGATCAGAGTTGAAAAACTGCCTAATCAGCAACGGATGACCATGTTGTTGGGTCACTACACTACGGACCCTCAGTATCAGCAACGCTTCATCAATCTGGTAAGAGCGGAGCCAGCTCTGAAAACAAACATTTCCTCCACGAACAATGTGTTTGTTATATTTTCTCTTCTGTTTATGACGGCTCTGTCAGCTACACTGATTTACATAAACACTGCCAATCCCGGGACGCTACACTCTCAACAAAAGTAGCCGAGTACAAACAGCATTCCTGAGTTTTAATTCATATTATATAAACATAACAGATGTTGATACGATGAGCCAACAAGAAAATACAACAAAGGCAACCATTTCAAGGGGGTTTGCGATTAAAACACGTTCCAGATTGGCGAAAAGATCCAGTGTTAATGGAACAAATCATTTAAATGTCAGTGTTTGACTCCTATGGAATTGCAAAGACACAATGTATAGCGAAGCTCTTGAGTTTTCCCTGCTCTCAAACAGCACAAGGAAAAACTTATTTTCCTGTCTCTGTATTCCCGTATATATTTTCATATTCCACTGCTGTGTTGGAAAGCTAAAGTGGGAGGCAGCTTTGTTTGGATCTCTCATAAAGTGACTAGAAGAATAGCACCTGCACTGTGTTGTCTGTGAATGACAATATTTTATTTATCAGTAACTGGAGGACAGCCTAAGGACTGCCTTATGTCTTTCTACAAGCATTGTCTCCTACCTATGGCACACATGCAGCAACCTCATTAAGGTGATTTTGGTTAACCTTGTGGTTGTGATATAAGAGAGGTGGCAGATGGTAGGTATGTTGGATCCAAGTGGTTGGGGGCTTTCTGGTTGAGGGCTTTCCAGTTTGTGTCTTGAGGACCATCCGGAAACAATATGCAGATCACACTGAGCAGTGCTGTGTACATTTCCAATGGAGCAATTCATCAGGGGCAACCATCAACACGAGTTGAAGCTTCTGAACAGTTGTCAGGGAAACCCAAGCAAGAGTGTTTTGCAGCAATCTAGCCCGGGAACTATAAAAATGTGAGTGATTGTCACCAAGTGAGAATGTTTCTTGACTTGGGGTGTTTGTTTTTAGTTTTAGGAATTGTCCATCTGCATTAAACTTTCTGCTGTGACAATTCAGTAAATGTAGAAACAATGGATTTAACCTCAAGGCCACTTCATACCTGATGTTTCCTTGACCATGAGGTCAGCTCTCTGCACATCAGCTTCCTGACTAGCATGATTGTGGCAAAATACACTTGTGCTATGCGTCTAGCTTTTCCTACACAGAAATAATCTCCGTAGCTTTATGTGTGAAACCCTGGCTCCGCTTTATGGAACCCATCTCCATGTAAGAAGAACACCCTAGGTCAGCGGTTCTCAACCTGTGGGTCCCCAGATGTTGTTGGACGACAACTCCCATCATCCCTGAGCTCTGGTTTTGCTAGCTAGGGGTGATGGGAGTTGTAGTTCAACAACATCTGGGGACCCACAGGTTGAGAAAGGCTGCCCTATGTGAAGTGACTCTTTGCTTTGCTTGTAGCAAAACTGGTGGCTGCAGCGGTTCTTCAGCCAAATTACCTTGTATTCTGAGTGCCAGAGTGGTATTTAAAATTGCCTTCTTAGAAATAGATTAATTTTGTTTCCCCTTTTTGTTCTTTCGTTCTTTCTTTCTGCAAGCGTCTGCTGTGGAATGCTGTAGGATGTCATTAAGAGCAATGTAACAAAACCTCACTATAAAACGTATTTGGTTTAACAAACTGCCATATGCCTATCAAAGCCACGTAGAACTCTTGAATGTACCACTGGAGTTTAGCTTTAACTGTCCTTCCCTGTATGATCTGTGTACATTCCTGTATCAATGTGAAATTCTAGTGAAAAATGAAACCACCACTATACCATGTTTTTTAAAAAAGAAATAATTTGAAGGTACAAGTGAGATAAAACAACAACGACCACTGCATTGTGCTCTTCTTTCATTTGGGAATTAAGATATGATAAGGTTACACCTGTTTTCTCTTAATGTGTCCTTTACTTTATCTTGCAGGAGCCCTACATAAACAAATCTGCAGTGTCGGTTCAAGCCCATTTCTCACTGCAACGCACATACATCATATTTCGGTCTCTGGGCCTTCGGCACCTGACAGTTGTTGATTTGCAGAACCAGGTTGTTGGGATAATCACCAGAAAAGATCTGATATCTTTGCAGTTGGAAGAGAAGCTGGGACTCCAGCAGTCGTCGAATCAGCTTCACTCTGATGATGAGCTTTTAGACTAGGAAGCAATCTGAACAGGGAATGCTCAGTTTAATTTCATAATGAACAAGTATGTATGTTCTTCTTTGAATTTGGATGTTTGTGTATTACAGTGTATCCTCTGCATATCAAATGGATAAGCCTTGCCTAATTCTCCCAGTTACCAAATCAAAAAATAGGGACAAATAGATTACCCAGGCTTTGAGTTCATACAGTTGGGATCTCATTCCCAACTCACACAGTTCTTTCTCATTCCAATCTCAGATAGGATATAATAATAGCATATAAGATGCAAACAGCAATCATTTTTATTGATTTATGTATTGACTGTTTTATTGCTTTATTTTGTGGAAATTTTTATATTGCAATGTTAACATCTTGTGTAAATCACACAGGGATGATGTGTCTTAAATGGTACAAACACATCATTAATAATTAAGTATTCCTACCTAAAATCATAATAAGTGTGCTATTTCTTCCTTACAAGATGGTACTAAGGGCCAAACTATATGCAGGTTTAGTCACATACTATAGTCCTTAAGTGCAGGTTTCTTCTATTCTCTCTCTCTCTCTCTCTCTCTCTCTCTCTCTCTCCCCCCTCTCCCCCCAGCCACTGCAGGCCTCCCAATCCAGGTGACTGAGTGGCTTTAACTCTCTCTCTCTCTATCTTGGCTGTCTTTACCCGGGGGTGCAAGGGCTGCAGGGCACCCTGGTGCCGAATTCTGGAGAGTGCCAAATGTATTCGGGGGGGGGGGGCGTCAAATGTATACCTACTGTCCCCGTCACTCTGTTACTCCATAGCATCAAATATTCCCAATGAGTCTGGAAACAAAAGCAGTTATTTCCGCTGCATTGTTGTTACAGGTGAGCGATTTTCTTCCCCCCAAAAAGGTCAGTAACTTTGAGTTTGGCCCCTCCAAAAAATTTGGGGGCGGCTAAACTAAATTTGGGGGCGCTGGGTGGATCTCTGCACCCCGGTGACGCATATGCTAAAGACGGCCCTGCTCTCTCTCCATCCCCGCCCCTGGTGTGCTCAGGCATGGACTGGCCTCCTGCATTGCAGGGGGTTGGACTAGATGACCCTTGTGGTCCCTTCCAATTCAACGATTTGACTCATATATTCAATGAGTCTATGAATATGATAGCAAGATTCTATGAATGTGTATTATGAACTTTCAAAATGGGTAAAAGTACCACGTCTGTAAAGGCACAGGCTGTAGTACAATCAAAACTCTGTTCACCAGTTCTTTCATTTCCCCTTCCTTTTCATGTTTTATACTATGTGATTTGTACCAATAAATGAATAAAGATGCTGCTCATATATGAGAAATAAAGAGTGATCACCCTGAGTGGTACATGGACACTAGACGAACAGGATAGAAATGTGTATATTCATTATCCTAAGTTTATTAAAGGCTTTTCATTAGTATAAATGATAAAAATATTGCATTTTTAAAAAATAAGCAAGGTTGGTGAGTATGGCATTTTATGCTAAAATATTAACATCAGCAGATTGTTGAGATCTTCATAGGATAGTTCTAATGTGGACCGTCCTTCTGCTGGTTGGGTTGCAAGTACATTATCATAGAACAGAAACTTTCCTGCTAGTGCTACAACTCTGAAACTCTCTTCACAGATTGGCCCACATCACTATTCTTTTGGACACCAAGTAAAGATTTCTTTGTTTTTGAACACATTATTTTGGATAGAACTGTCTCTCTGCTTATTGCTGTTTTTCTTTGTTTTTTTTCTGTTTTCCCTCTTACAATTTGTCATTTGCCCTCTTAAGGATCTGTTTGACTGTAATGGCTATATAGACATTATTAAAATAAATTCAATTATTTTGGGGTGGACCACTTACTCAAATGGTGGGGCCAATTCCAGGTTCTACACAAATACATCTATTTGTTGCTTGTTCTATCAAATTTACAGAAAATGCACTGCGAAATGTATTATGCAAAATAAAAAAGGTATAGCAAACAGAAAGATAAATTTTAACTTAAGAAAACAGAGGCAAAATCCTTTACATTACCAGATTTTGGACTACTCTCTATTTTTTTCCCAGCTGGGTTGAGATGGTACCAGCCTTCATGTTGGTGGAATTTTCTCCCTAGGTAAATGGGTTCAGCCTGTACCATTGTTGTGCAACATTTATGACTAGAATCTTTTCCATTTTACTAGTAAATAAAAACCTGAATAAGTTCTGTTTGATCACATCCCAGTGTACAAACACAGAAAATCATTTAAAAGCTTCTCTGCCATGACACTACTGGAATATCTGTTTCATCCTGTGAATAATTTTATTAGATTTTATGCAAGCAAAGTAATAAGGGAAAAAAACCCTCAGGAAGTAGATGGGCACAGATTATTTAGACAAAAGATAGGAGGAGTATCAAGTTGGGCAGTGATCTCATGCTAGACACAGAATTACTAGTACAGTAGGTAAATATTGAGGTTTTTAATTAGCATTGCTTGATGAAGTCTTCCGTCATTGTGATCTTTCCCTGAATTTTGTTGCAAAATTCAAGAAACAACAACAACAACAACAACAGCAACAACAACAAAAACCCTCGAGTTTCAAAATGGGGGTAAATGGTTTCTTCAGGACCCTGATTCTCAAATTCATTTTGGGCAGGGGAGCACTGAAGACATACATCCTTGGAGAAAAATGGTAGTAATGGGGAAAAGGAGTGTAGCCTATGGAGAAGTGCAGAAGTAGGCCTTGGGCACGCACAGTCCAAATATCTAGGCTTAGTCCTGTTTTCCATTTATGGGTGGCAGTTTATTTTTCCAGTTTCTCAGAATCGTTGATTTATTAACCAGCTTTGCAGCAGATCAGCACTGTGGCTGTCCTTTCATTCATGCTCCTTTCATAAGGTTGCCAACTTATTTTCTTAAATGTTTGCCAGAGACGCCACATGTCACTGAAGATCCTCAGCTGTGCTGTCTCTAATAGGCAGACAGGCTCTAGAGCTAAAAAGCGAATGCCTCAATGCTTTTGGCAGTCTGGTCTGCAACCCTTCATAGGCTCCTTCGTGAATTGTACATGTTTGTGTGCGCACATATGCAGAAAGTAATGTATTGGTTAAATGCCTGCAGCTTCTTTTTGTTAGACATTTCCACAATCAGCATTGTTCAATTGAAAAAGGAATGAGACAATCTTCAAATATCAAGCAGAACTTAAAAAAAATCTGATGATTGATTACTGACATGATACATCTCATCTGATTCCTACGAAGTTAGCCTCCGCCAGCAAGTAGGTTCGTGACAATAATTCACTCAATTGCTTTAGTGTAAGGTTTGTTGCCTTTGGCATCCAAATATGCGAGATGATGCCAAACAAAAGGGTGTGCATGCAAATGCAAAACAAAATGGCATACTGACACCTTAGCACCAACCCATAATTAGGAATAAAGTGAGCAGAGACCGAATATAGTTAGTAAATTTAACATACCACATTGATTATAAATTGGAATGTTAAGTCTTAAGTGTATACATGATCTTGGATGGCAAGTCCACGGGAACTGTGGATAATCTGAAAACAGTATGGGAGCAAGATATAGAAAGAAAAATAGACCCTATAGTATGGAAGGCAATGTGGTCAGAAAAGCCATTCAAATAAGTGTTGGCACATGTACAAGAAATCTCCCTCAGTGTTGTACATAGATGGCACTTCACCCCACTAATCCTGAATCATGATGTCATGAATGGGCAGGACAACTGAGAGGAGGAAGGGGATCTCGGTGAGGGATGTAGCTGCAACTGGTTCACACTGGGGCAAAGCTAGGGGGGGGGAGGTGGAGAGGTTAGGGGCATAGAAAGTACTCATGCGGTGACAGAGGATGACAAGGGGATGGGGGGGTCAGTGCACAGGAACCAGGGCTAGAAGGACCCATCACCAGAGCCAGAGGGTCCCCCATCTCCATGAACATGGTGGGCTCTGAGGTGTAGGGAGCAGAGGGAGCAGAGGCAAGGAAGGGCCCACAGCCCAGCTCCATAGCTGCCCAGGTGGGGCTCGTTAGCTCTGGTAGGAGCTATGTGATTCCTCAGCTGGAGTAGGCTTGGAACAGGTGAGGGTCACATGCCTCGTCAAGCCCAGATGCTGCAACTAAGAGTCAAGGGGCAAAAGGATAAGCAGAGCTGAGGTGCTATGTCTGCTTAATTTTCCATATTGATAGGCCACAGCTTGGGTGTCCTAGAAATTCCATGGGACTGTGCTTTTCGGGACTTAACTCCAGGTTCCCTGACCAATTGGACTATTGGACTACTTGCTAGCATGTGCCCTTGGGACTGTATACACCAGCAGGACCAGTTGCCAGGGGTTCAAGACACATTGATCAGGAGGTAAGGTCATTATGTTGGAGGGGATGTGGGAGTAAAGGGTCTTTCTACTATTTGTTATGGTTATTGCAAAAAGGCAACTATTTTTTTTGGTGGAAGCATTATTGGAAATGTCAGAAGTTACAGGTTAAATTATTGCATGTAGACCTAATGCCAGCCTTGCTGCTCACCTATGACAGAAAATAAAAACCTATGACATGTAGAACTGCTTACCTTTAGACTAAAGACCAGAAGCCTGGAAATGGCGAGGCAATGGAAAACGATGTATAAACTTTCTGTGGTCAGGAGGTACCAGCAACTATGTTGCAAGAAGGCTACCAAAGAACAAGAGACAGACAATTAATTTGAAACCTATCACTTTTTGGGGGTGGGATTCGGTCACGTATTGGGAAATTCAGGTTGCACAATTATAGGTGATTGGGAAGTCTTGTGCAACGTATATGCTTCCTCCCAAAACTGGACTTCTGCAGTAATGAAAGTGATGGGGAAATGCGCAGAAAAAGTGTGGGATTACACTTGCTTTTATGCGATGTCATCTAACCTCCTTGCAAACAAGTTAGAATCAATGGCCTACATAAAAATAATAAATAGACAACATTGTCCAATTTCTCTGTGAAGAACTCAGGATAAACTCTCAATAAATGTGTCACTTGGAAGCACCCCAAGTTAGCACAGAAACTGCCAGCCATGGAACATTACAAATATTTTCTCAGTTTATAGCTAAAATAAATGGGATTGACAGTTACCTGATGGAAAAATTGTAATAGGTTGCTGTTTGTCATTAACGCTGCTGGGTTATATTATTAATAAACAGGGATTCTGGTATGCAGCATTAAATTCCAAACCAAGAATGCCCCTTAAAGAAGGAAGCAGAATGTCCTGCTTGCTTCCAGCTTGTTTCTTCCAAATTCAGAGTGTGCATTTTAAAGGAACCTATTGTGTCCCTGTTTTATTAGCTCTCGGATTTTCCCTCAGTTGCCTTTTCATTACTAAGATGTTTGATTTGATATATGGAACCCACCTGCCAGAAGGAACCACTAGATGCCACTCTTTCCAACATCTTCACAAATCTCGGCTGGATTTGCTTAATGAACTGAATGAGTCACAGGCACACAGCCCACCGTGTTTGAATAGAACTGTAGCACCACAGTACTGCAGAAATGACCTCAGTAGATGTTTATCGTTTTTGGATCATTTTCAGTGGTTTTGTGCCAAGGTAAAAGACGATACAAGTAGAGCTAACGTCCCAGGGTATGATTTTGAAAACCTCCACTTGCTTAACCCTTGAAATACTGTTTTCTGAAGAGAACATTATTGACAGAGGCTGAAGGAGCAACTGGTCGTTCCATTCCTCGGGGGGGGGGACTTTCTGAATGAACTGGAACTGCAAGCCAGTAGCACATCTGCTGAGCATTTGTTGCAATTTGGTTCACGGCTGCTTCTGCATCAGCCTATGTCAGGTCTAAGGCCAGAAAGTGCAATATTGCAAATCAAGTGGTTGATTTGAGGTTTCATGGATATAATCAACTATCATTAGTCAACACTCAGTTATCTGAATGTCTTGATTCAGTATGTGATCCTCGTGTACTTTGTAAATTACACTTCTGTTTATCATTCTAGATGTTTATTTTGGTGTTCACAGAATAGCATTTTGTTTTACGCTCGCCTCAGAGCGCTTGAATCATGGCCAATATTTAGAACTCCAGCAATTCAAGCCCATGCACCCAATAAAAATAAATAGCATAACAATGAACTAAAGGAATATTGCCACATGTGCAAGAATATTAAATCGAATGGGTGGACCGAATAAGATTATTCTGTGACCTCTTTATATAATTATCCATGCACTGAAGCTAACTCAAAACAATAGATTTTCAAAACACTGTTATATCCTGAAGTTGAAAATGAGTGTGGAATAGTCCCTAAAAATCCATGGTTGAGCAAGAATTTTTTTTCCCTGACATCTCAGAATATCAGGTTTGCCCCTAGTAGCTAGGAAGGTGGTGAATAATTTCTGTGAGGAATTTTTATATGGTTTCTGAAATAAATGCAGAACTTGGATTGGATCCAGTCTTTGCTCCCATGGCTGGAAGTGGCTACTAACTAAGCAGAGTTCTACTCTGGTTGGTGGGGAAAAAAAATCTCTGCAAGGTGAACCCCAACCCCTTGTTTTCAAGGACCTGATCCAGAATGCAAGAGATAGGATCAGGAAGCATCTGAAGATGCTGTCATTGTCAAGAGTCATGAGCATTTCTCATATGTATGCATGCAACCGACCACCTTCCAGGAAATTTCACGAATGTCTGACATCGATTCAAACATTTTAAAAAGCATGTGGTGCACAGTTATCACTTTGTAATGAAGGTGGAGTGTGCATGTCTCAATATTCTCCACCTCTAGAAACAATCTAGACGGGCCTTTTATGTTTATGGAGTTTGTGATGTAGTAAAGTATTTAGAAATGCAACTTTGACATGCATTATGTGAAGTGGTACAGACCT